ATATGTGCAGAGTATCCTTTGGTCATGCCACATCGCGGTGGCCAGGCACAGCATTTGGCACTTCATCTGCGTTCGGCGGCCCGAAACGGACCGCAGACGTGGCGGGGGCAAAGATCAGACGTGGAGGGAGATTGGGAATATCATGGGGGGACACTTGGGGAATATTATACAATACATGTACAGATATATTAGATGTAATGGGAATACATAACCATCAAAATGATACGGATTGATTTCAGGGAAAAATTACCGGACACGGGAAGACAATGAGGATACATAACCAGCAAGATGAATTGATTGAAGGGAGAATTTACTGGAAACAATGGGTTTTTACTCCAAATATCAGGGTTTCCTGTAAATTTTCTCTTCATGTCTAGGAAGATCTAGTTTTCACAGCATGTCAGCACAGACTAAGGGAAGAAGTTCCCACCAAACTGGGATTGAAGCAATAAGAAGAACCGTTTTTACCCAGCGCTTTTTGGATGTTAGATGCTCGGTACAAGGGGTTAGTGACTTGGTTGCCACAATCTCATGGGTTGATATGGGTTATAATCCAGTTGCTAATTGCAGGTCAACCCTGGATCAACCCCCCATCGGCTTCGTTTCTCCTGGGATATCCCCGGGCCCCTGTGCGCTCTGACCGGGCTTGGACTCAAAACCAGCTTTGATTGGCAAATCCCATTCTGTTCAGTCGTGACCTCATCAAATATCATCAAACATGCATACATTTATTGTATATGATACACACTATATATATATATATTTATACATATATACATACGACATACGTATATATATATATATACATAATACTGTATGATATAGATATTTAGTAGTTACAGTCGATCGTTCTAGAGGATTGCCTTTTCCAGCAAAAAACACATCCCCTGCGCCATGGCCAAGGTACGGCCAAATTCGGCAAGTACGCGGAGGAAGCCCTGCTCTCAACGGGGGTGGAGCACCTGACCAGATGGGAAAGAGATGGGACATCCGCCCCTTTTTGGGGGGTATAAAACTACCCCGGGTGATGGGGATATAAATATGGCAGTGTGTCAAAACCTTGTACCCCTGGTGAACATCAAAATAGCTGGTAAATGGATGTTCATCCCACTAAAAATGGTATTTTCATAGGTATTGACCCATACCCATATGGATATAACGGAATGCAACTATAACAGTATGATATTTCACTTTGGCTTTGTCCATGGGCAGTATAGCCCAAAGATAGCACCTCCAAATGAGATGATCATGGATGGGAAAAAGCGCACCTTTATAGCGGTTGAATGGATGGGGAGTTCAAGCCAATCAATGATATGAGGTTGAAAGGTATCGGGTGATTTCACCCGATACCCCCGGAGTGAACTGCCCAAGTCTAGCATTTGAAAAGCACCCTATTATTGTGGTCAAAAGTTGGAAAGTGATTACCCACAGAGGGCAAGGGTCATCAAGCCATTAACTTCCGGATTTACCATCCGATAATTTAACAGTTTTCTATACAAAATCACAACCTTTATTAGGTAAATAATCTATACGTGGGCCATGGCTTCCATAGCTATGTTCAATGACCGGAGCGTACCTGACACCGCCACAAGACTTGCAGTGAACTCAGGCTGCCACGCACGAGTGAACTTAGTGAACAGCGAAATGCGTTTGGTGTATGTCTGAAAGTAGGGTATACGGTATACTCCCAAATAGCCATGAAATAGTGGGAGGAGATGATATGATAATCCATTGGAATTGGAGGTACCCAATTTTCAGACAAACTCAGCAGGTGAAATGCCTTGAGCTCTGTGGTTTCATGATAAAGTTCCAGCAGACCCGGTTTCACTAGACTTGGGGACGGTCATACTCCAACTCTTTTAGGTATTTACAAGTTACAAGCATCAACATCTTCATTGAACGGAAGGATGCCGCTTATCCAATTTGAACATTTTCTTTTACCGGAATCACAACATTTGCTCCCCCAAAGGCCCACAGAGCTCCTCTCATTTGAGTCATAGTTTGATGGCGGATGGGTCAAAGTCGCCGGAGCCATGGGTCGAAGATTCTTAGGAGAATCACACATAGCGAACTGGAAAATCACAATTTTTAAGAGGTAAATCAGGTAAATCATCATGAATAATTTGGCAATTGTCCGCGACGAACTGTTCAATAACCAAATGGTAGATGTTCCTGCACCAAAAAAGTTTACAGTATAACCATCCTCATAGTTGTTAGTAGTACTACCATCCCGGATCCCTGTTAGTTGAATGCTGGCGCCTCAGAGGCCCTTTACACCATCATCCGCATCTAGCACCCGATATATCGACTGTTGTTGGGGTGGGTAGCTATATAACCTTTCCTTCCCGGTTAGCCATACCTTACATATATCCTTGTTGGGATATTTTTCCTGGTTATATACATCCAGAGTGTTCTGTAAGCATATCATATTTCCCCACCTGCCAGGTGAGGGTTGTTAGATTTTATCTAAGTTGCCTGGTCCTCCTCCTCCTCCTGCCTCCTCCTCCTCCTCTCCTCCTCCTCTCGTTGTCCTCCTCCTCTCGTTGTCCTCCTCGTCCTCCTGCTCAACTGCGACTCGCAATCCACAGTGTTCGTTGTCGGACCTCAACCACGACCATCCACGCCCAGTGTTCCCTGCCGGACCTCAACCACGACCATCCACGCCCAGTGTTCCCTGCCGGACCTCAACCACGACCATCCACGCCCAGTGTTCCCTGCCGGACCTCAACCACGACCATCCACGCCCAGTGTTCCCTGCCGGACCTCAAACGCGAGTATCCACGCCAAGTGTTCCCTGCCGGACCTCATGTAGGAAGATATGGGACAAAGAATGTGCAGAAGAAAGTTAGAAAGAATGTCAGACAAGTATGTTATATATTACTTGCAAACTAGATATGCCAGAAGATATGCCAGAAGATGTGTCAGATAGAATGCCAGATAGAATGCCACAAGGTATGCCAAATAGAATGCCAGATAAAATGTCAGATAGAATGCCACAAAATATGCCAGATAGAATCCCAGAAGATTTGCCAGATAATATGCCAGAAGATATGCCAGATAGAATGCCAGATAGAATGCCAGATAATATGCCAGAAGATATGCCAGATGCCAGATAGAATGCCAGATAGAATGCCAGAAGATTTGCCAGATAGAATGCCAGAAGATATGCCAGAAGATATGTCAGATAGAATGCCAGAAGATATGCCAGATAGAATGTCAGAAGATTTGCCAGATAGAATGCCAGAAGATATGCCAGAACATATGCCAGATAGAATGTCAGAAGATTTGCCAGAACATATGCCAGATAGAATGTCAGAAGATTTGCCAGATAGAATGCCAGAAGATATGCCAGAACATATGCCAGATAGAGTGCCAGATAGAATGTCAGAAGATATGTCAGATAGAATGCCAGAAGATTTGCCAGTAAGAAAGTGTATAAATGTCATGGTGGGGATCACACGAAGTAAAGTAATTTTACACATAGACTAAATAAATATACAATATGTACACGTATCCATGCTTTGGGGATTAATGCAACCATGGCGCCCTATTTTGACCCCTAGCCTCCCAGCTTCGCAAGCTTCGCAGACTGCGAAGCCTGCGCCGCCGCCGATGACACCAGTTCGTCGCACTTGCGCGGCAGCTGTTGGGAAGTTTTCGAGCGCGGCAGAAAGGGCGAAAGACATGCGGAACGGCGGCATGTAGAATGGGATAGTAGGATTTAACCATCAAGAAGGGGGATTTTGTTATGGGGATGATGGGGATTAACTATGGCAATATGGGGATCAAAAGCGGTTATACCAATAAGGAGAAAATAAACATCCGCCATTTCCCAGCTATTTGGCATTCACCAGATTACTATGCTTTTGATGCAGGCTTGGCACAAGAGTCAGATGGCAATCTTTCCATTGTTAGGATGACCAAACAAATTTAATGGGTATTTCCACAATGGAAAGTTAATTGTTAGGATACCACCATTGTTCTTCTTAGGATGCCAATCATGTACCCTTTGGTATGATCATAAGTGGGTTTTCCTGCAAATACTATGACCCCGGCGCCCCAACAAAACCCCCCATGGGGACACGTCAGAACTCGGCACAGGGAGACGCCTGCGAGGCCGCCGGGTTCAACTGTTGTCTTCAGTTTTCATGGCACATTGACATCCTAGTTTGATGCATAGTTTTGCAAGGTAAACCCTCCAACGCTTTGGTTTGTGACATCCCAAACGAGTGTGATTCCACCATCTTCGCTGGTGAAACTTGGTGTTTTCCAGGATCATCATGAATTCCCCATTCGTGTCACTTTAACAAGCCCACATTCTTGTGGATGGAATCCCCGCGAAAATCCAAATTGTCCAGATCCGAACTTTGGCTGATCAAATTACCTTTTTTGCTGGTTAAAAATGGTTAAAATCAGTTAGGTTGAACATATTTTGTCGGTGAAATCCCTATTTTTCATGGTGAAATGACCGGTTTTTCTGGGTGAACTCACCCCTTTTCTGTGGCGACTGGCCCGTTTTTTCCAGACCCAACTTGCGGGAGCGCTCTCCGGCGCCGCAGCCCGGAGCTCGCGCGGAGAAGGCGGGGTCGTTGGTTCGTTGGGGGCTGGGGAAGGACGAATTTGTAGATTTTTACGATGAAAAATGGGGAGTTAACATGAGTTAACCAGGTAAAACAATAACCATGATAAACCATGATAAATCGGGATTGGAATATTGTTTTAAACTGTTCTAATTACTGTTCAATTGTTCAATTTGATTTTCACATTGTATATACTACATATATAGTTAGAATGGCCCTTGCCCATCTTCCCATCCTCCACAACCGCAAACATACAGACAACATTTCAAAGCAACCAACCCCCATAACATCACACAAACAAATCATAACAACCAAAGCATACCCATAAACCAATAATAAATCAATCAACCAAACAACACAAATAAATCAGAACAACCAAGACATAACCAAAATCCAATGAGTAATCAATCAACCGAGACAATAACAAAACCATAGCAACAAGCAATCATCAAAACCAAAACAACACCCCATCACAAAAATTATTCAACAAACCAACCAATAAGATTGTTGAATAATCCATGCCAAAAAATATTCAATGAACCAATCAAAATACAAACTCATAAAGTTAGGGGGCAAGGTCTCCCTCATAGAAAAAATATTTCCACAAAAGATTATCCATAAAATACTGGGGCAAGGTTGCCCTTACAGAAAAACCAGATTAACATATAATTGAAACAATCCAACCAATGCTAAACCTCATTCATAAGTCCATTGTTATGCCAGCACCTCAACAAAAAAGCATTGGTATTGCTACAACATAGGACTATTGATTGTATAGTATATTAGTTATATGTAATCAACCACTATTTACAACTACAATTACACCTTTTACAGTATGCCACTATATTATCCAATGTATGGGTATATTCATTATTGACCCTTTGGGCGGTTAGATTTGTTGTTATATTCCCATTATTCATAGTAGTATAAAACCCACATCCGCAGTAATTACATTGATTTTTTATATTCTCTAAAAACCATTCAACATTCACATATCCTTCTTTTGGTATTTTCCTTTTTGCCTTTCTATCTTGCTCTTTGTAATTCAGTATCTTTCTTTCATAATAACTCACCATACATTTATAGTTAAATTCATCATATACATCATTGCTATATCTGAAAAACTTGACTTTGTTTAAATCTCTTGCTCTTGTAATTGCCGTCCATATCCATTCTTTATATTCTCTTATATCCCAATGGTTATAATCAAATATTGTAATATTACCATCTATGCTACTGCCTTGGGCGGAATGACAAGTGGCACAGTGAGCAAATATAAAATTCTTCCTGACCTTTTCAATATCCAACGGTTGAACTTCACCACTTTTTACATTTTTGAGATTTAGAAATTTACTATTTGCCAATACGATTTCATATTTAAAATTCACATTGAAGACGCAGTGTTTAGACTTAGTATATTCTCTACATATTAAGAATTCTCCTATTTCATATTCATGTTTTCTATTTTCCAATTTGCGGATGGCACTTGAAACATTTTTACAAGTGTCATTTAGATATGCTATATTATTTTTTGAACCGCTTATATCACTGGTATATTGAAAATATTTACTGATGAACTTTTTATAAGTAATGTTATTTATGAAAATATCGTCCTTTATTTTACTTAGTTTGTCCTTATCCTCCTGTGTTTCAAGTCTCTTACATATTTTCAGCAATATATTATTTTTAAATATATTATCTATGATTTGGTCGGCATAGGTTTCATAGTCCTGTATGTTGGTTAGTGGTTGGATGGGTTTTAGTTGCTTTGTGTCTCCTGTCGCAATAATAATTTTGTCATGCTTGTTTTGTTCTACAAATTGTTTTATCCTCCAATAGGTGCTTAAACTACTAAAATATATCTCATCAAATACTATTACATCATATCCTGAAAAATCAAACGGTTCTAACCTGACATCACCAAAAGATATTCCAAAAAACTTATTTAGGGTCAGTGCCTCTCCTTCAAATGCTTGTAGTAATTTATTAGTAGGACATACAAACATCACTTTATAGTCTTTACCTACCATTCTTTGGCATATATAACTTTTGCCAGTTCCCGGCAGTTCCCCTCTTATCATCATAGGATTATTACTCTTAATATATTCAATAATATTATCAGTGTCATATTCATTTTCTATATCAATTGTTTTATTTTCATATATTGGGATTTCAATTATTTCATTTTCCACTACATCATATTTGACAGTTGGAAATTTGATGTCATCATTATACTTGCTTACTCCCCACCCTCCTATTTCATTATTGAAATTCAATAACTCACCTGCCTTTTCTACATCAGTTGCTCTTATTACAAAGGCATCTGTTTTTACACTAAACATCTTAATATTATGTTTTTTCATCTTGCTATATGGCTTATACATTTCCAAATTATGAAGTTGTAAAAGCAACTCCTTGACATATCTAAAACCATTTTTCAGTTGTGCTTGGTCTTTTATATTTAGGATGTAGTAATTATCAGTATTAATTTGGTTGGATGTGTGCTGTAATTCATCTTCATTCTCCATTATCTCATCCTCTATCTCTACATCACTTACTTTATGAAGTTTCCCACCATAATTTACTTGATAATCAATTGCTTCACTTAAACTCTTAAACAATAAACTTTTTTGGTCGGTAGCACCTCCTTTTTCCAATAAACCAAAATTGACATTAGCAATTAGTTTCTTTATATACTTGTCTTCTTCAATATCATCACTGATTGACATATTCCAAAGTTCATCAATAATTCCTTTATGATTACATTTACGAATTTGCGACGGGGTTTTAAAGCACAATATATCAATATCAACATCATCAATAACTTCTTTTAAGATGTATCCGTATTTAGTTTCATACTTTTTATTCATAAAAATCTTATTCTTTTCAAAGTCATTATTTTTAACATAGTATAAAGTTAAATCATGATATTCATTTATTTTTCCATCATAAGGTTTCCAAATGTCAAACTGATTGAAAACGGGTTTCTCATCCATTTTCAAAAACATACTTGTGAATGCTTTTGATATGTCAATTTCTGCTACTTGAAGGGATTGTTTAGATATTTTATGCTTGATGTAGTCCAGACTATCACCTGAATGAAACCATCCACAAGGCACAATCGTTCTTGTCTCATCCAATATCTTAATATCAATATCATTGTAAAAGGATTTTTGAGATGGGATAAATAGCGCCTTGTAGAAATTAAACATTGCTAAATTCATTCTATTATATGTTTTCTCATCACCTACTGTAATACATCCATCACATGAAGTCTTCAATAAATTCTGTGTCCTGATGATGTATTTTGTTTTACACAGTTTCATCCTGATTTCTGTTATTGTCCCTGCTTGATATTTTATTTTGGGTTCATACCCGCTTCTAACTAATTCAAATAATGCCTTTGTTAAATTATTATCTTCCATAACCAAAAACATTTCCTTCATTTCATCCTTATCCGCTTCTTCCTTTAAAGCAAGTATATCATCAATGGTTTTTATCATTCTGTATGTTGGCGGTTCATCCTTTTCATTAATGTAGTAGTCAGTGGATGCCTTCACTACTGGGATACTACATATTTGTTTTTGTTGAATGCTTTTAAGGTCATGGTTCAAAACATAGATATGACTGTTCTTAACCATAGCATAAAAGGTTTTAATATGGTGGTTTCTTTTTTCTGGGTCATGCTTATAAACCAACTGATTACAAAAGTTGAATATTCTGACTTGTATATTGTATTCTTTAAAGACTTTTTCCATATCAGTAATTGACGCTCCCTTTTCAATAAAATCACTCTTGCCTATAATCTCTATAATTCTTTCCTTGGTCAATCTTTTTCTGGTCTTTTCACTCATTAAAGTATCACCATAAAAATCATTCAAGGCATTTACCCAGCATAAATTATTTATGTAATTACCCTTTTTAATTGCTTGTTTAATGGTCTCCGCTTCCATTCTCACAGGTGTATGGATGTAGTCATGATAAATTGAAACATTCACAGCGTCGGTCAGGTTCTCATTCATAATGTCAAACTTCTCTCCTTTCTCATTTACCAACTCTACTGATTTAATTTTTATACATCCTTTTTTTTCATTGCCATGGGGCACCAGCAGCATCCCGTGGGCGGCGCCAAGAAACGCGGACAGTTTGCAAAAGTGCGGACCATTCTTTTCTGTTTTGTGCCACCTCAAAAAGTTTTTGTAAAATATATTTCTCCACGCCTGCCCCTTGGAAGTAATGGTCGTTAACAATGGTCGTTGCGAGTTGAAGAACAACATCATTCCACTTAATTCTCCGAGCTCCTCTCATAAAGGGCCCTCCCAGCATTTGCGGCTGTAAAAATCTGTTAAAGGTCACAACTCGGGCTGGGTGGTTAGGGGGCCGTCGCAAAATGTGTCCAAGAAGAGACATCTGTTGTAGCCGGAGCTCACCCGACAAATTTAAAAGATTCATCTGACAACGGACTTGCTCGTTTGATATCCGTTCTATGCCAAGGAGGGTTGCACCCCATGTAGATGGTATGCCGGCGATAGAACGCAAACATCGAATGTGAAATGAATCCAGAAGCCGCATTTGCTTTCCAGTCAAGCAAAGAGTACACAGACTATACATCAGCTTACTGACCACGCAGGCATAATAAATGTCGATCTTGCGCTTGGTGCTAATTCTGGTGTGTTTCCAAACACGCAACAAAGTCTTAAACACCCGACGTGAATCTCTGATCTTCTTTGACACTTCATGTCCCGGTTTGCCCTTTGAGTCAATTAGAGCACCCAAATACACAACCGAAGAAGCCAGTGGAACTTGCGACCCATCAATGAAGAAAATGGCAGTCTCCGTGTTGTAGAGAACCAACTTACATTTACCAAGATTGAGGTGCAAATTGTATTTCGCCGCTTCCCTCTGAACCAAATGAAGAAGACGTTGGAGGTGCTCGCTGTTTCGGGAAATAAGAACAGTATCATCAGCGAACTCCACATCAAAGAAGGGAACCGTAGGTGTTATAGCCAAAGGATATTTACCAAGGAACTCCCTTTCGATGTCGTGAAACATAACTGTCTGCAATGCAATAAACAACAATGGTGACAAGGTACAGCCTTGGCGTATACCACTTGCCTGCTTTTTCTGCAGAGAGATCTCCCCGTTGACAACAACTTCAAATACTGGAGAGGCAGTGAGGTCCCTAATGGCAGAACACATCCTGGGTGGGATTTTCAATCTTTGGAGAGCCAGGTGAAGGGCAGCAGGTTTGATGGTGTCAAACGCCTTGCTCCAATCCAGGAAGAGAAGGAACAAGGCTTGATTACGTTTGGCGTCTACAAGATCCTGCAACCTCCTAATGAGGAAAATCGCCTCGTTGGTGCTACGGCCATGTCTAAACCCATATTGATTTTCCCGCAAGAAGGGGTCCAGGCCAGCCGATAACCTGGCTGCTAGAATCCTAGCATACAACTTGTAGCAAGTCTGCAAAAGACTGATGGGGCGGTAATTCGCTGGGTCACTGCTAGAACCTTTTTTAAAAATGCCTACCACTTGTGCTTGTCGCCAAGAGTCCGGGCTATTGCCTTGAGTCCAACAGCATTGAAAAAGGTCAAGCAAAGCCTCTAAGCCTGGTCCAGATAGGTGTTTCCAAAATTCATTGGGAATACCGTCCTTGCCCGCAGCTTTACCAGTTTTGAGATGTTTAATGGCATCGACAAGTTCGTTCATAGTCAGGGGTCCTTCTTCAACAAGTGGGGTGTGTTCTAAAACATCATCAGTATCAATGTCATCAACTCCCTCATTGGCTGGCGGTGCCCATTGCACCTGTTCCAAGTGCGTAGCGAAGATCTCAGCATTGGAGTCCATCGCCGTTAGGTTACTATGGGTAGATGGGGGCTCCAAACGAACAAGTCTAGATTGGAAAGGGGTTTTCAAACGTTTGATAGGGTCCCAATGTGCGTCCTCAAGCTGACTATTCAACCATGCTTTTTTATCTTGGCGAGCCGACTTCTTAATGCTCTTGTTGTATTTTTCCACGGCCTCAAGATCTCCAGCTTTCCGCGCCTCCCCCCGGGCAGCTATGAGGTCGAGAGTGGCGGGGCTAATCCACTCTTTTCGCGGCTGCTGAACACGTTTTGGAATATGGTCGGTAAGCGCCGCTAAATAGATGTCTCGCAGCTCCTCCCATTTCTGCCCTGGCTCATCATTGGGCTGTTTGCTTGCGAGTTGTGTGCCCACTTGCGTATTCATGTTAATGAGTGTTTCTTCCGTGGCCCGCTTGAAATCCCAACACGGTTTGCGCGCAGATATTTGCCTGGCTCCAAGAGACATTTTGACCTTGGCCAGTATGGGGAAATGGTCGCTGTGGATATTACCAAAAGGGTCAGAAAACACATCTTGAACAATGTTTTTCCATCTCTCCGGACATAAACAAAAATCAAGTTGTGCAAAGTCAGAAGGGTCCCATGAAGCAAAATCTGTTGGGAGCCGGGTTGTACCAGGCTCCTTGAATGTCACCTGTTTCGAAGAACTATGTTGGAACCAGGTATTGGAAACTAGGAGCTGGTTCTGGAAACAGAAATCGAGGAAGAAGCTTCGATTGTCGTTTTCACCACCAATGAAAGAAACACCTTTACCAAAGAGGTGGGGTCCTAGGGCAGCCTCATCATGCAATTTACCGTGCAGCCTGGCATTAAAGTCACCCATGATGACAAAAGGCCCTTTAGTTTCCACGCTAGCAACTAGTTGGTTAAGTTCGTCATAAAAAGCGTGTTTCGTGTCCTCTTCATGCTGATTGTGTGGGGCATGTGCAGTGAGAATGGAGAACTCCCCCGCCCCTGTGTTAAAACTCATTCCCGCCGTCCGGCTGCTGGCCGGCAATGTTCGCAGCAGGGCAGCCCTAGCTCTGTGCGACAAAACAAAACCTGTTCCCAAATACTCTTGTTGGTTTGACGGGGCATTACTGAAAGTGTAAAAACAATAGGAACCCACCATGTAATAAGTAGTTTGCCTCGACTTCGTTTCTTGCAAGCACAGAATGTCAATATCTTTCTTTCGCATGTACTGGGTGATTTGGTGGTGCATGGTGCTCTTCAAAAGGGAGCAGGCATTTAGAGATGCGATGTGCATAGTCGTACCATATAAGATTTTGTGCAACAGAGGTGAACGCTTTCTATTGTCAGAATGATCCTCATACATGTTATAGCCCGCATTCTGGGCGTCTTTCAAGGACTGAGAAGCAAGTCGATTGGGGAAGTCGAGGCTACCGTTGCCCAAACGGCGCCTTTCTAGATCCATGTGTTTTGTACCAATGTTGGATTTACACCACCGATACCACCTACGGTGGTAGTTGCGTCTGCTACTTCTGTGTGCTTTCCGGGTGGTTTCTGCAATTTGGGACCTCTTGCCTCTCTTTTTGGTGGACCGAGTGTTTCTTTGTAGCCGCTGGGACGTGCAATTGTTTTTCCTTTTCGCAGAGAAATGGTCGTAAGAAGTGGTCGTATTTTGATCTGGGAATCTTGTGTCCCGCAGTTCGCCCGGCTTACCTTCTGGGCGGTGCTGTGGCAGGTGTGGAGAAATGGTCGTGAAAGAAATGGTCGTTTTTATAGGGTGGGCCTGGTGTGGGTCCTGATATTGTGTGCTTGGTGTTTTGTCCGTTTGTCAACGGCGCTTTCCTCCGCCTTTGGCAGAGTGGGCGCGGAAAGGGGCCTCAGAATCCTCCATGTCAACGTCCTGGTTTTTGGTCACCTTGGCGTTTTTGAGGGCTGCATATCGCGCGTCCAGGTTGTTTTTGACTTCGTCGGTCAGGGCGTAGATCTGGACCTGAAGGTGCTTCTGGGGGCGGCTGTCCTTGCTAGAACCGGGGGCTTTCCATGCCGACCAGTCTTCTTGAAATTTAGTTTCAAACTCTGCTTTCACGTGATCCGGCACATAGAGCTGAACTTTTGTGATGTCCTTGTCGTTGGTGTTCACGGCGAGTAGCCATTCATCATGCCATAGGGCTTGGATCTCCCAGGTCGGGCTGAATTTGGGGTTGTCTCCTATGATGTTGGCCAAGGTCTTCATTGCGCATTTCATCGGGGCATCTTGTTCACGACGGTATCGAGGAATTTGTGGTCTGCCTACAATGGTGTTGCCTTGTACTTGATGGGGGTCCCGTTTGATGTGCTGCAAGAACTCGTTCCTGGCTTCCTTGTCCCACATATCAACTATGGTGAAGTGAGCTAAGCCGTTCTTGGTCTTCAAAGTGGTACTCCCCTGGTACTTGCTCATGAGTCCGTAGTAGTTGGCCATCCGTTTGATTTCCTTCTCCCTTTCTTTTTCGTCAATCTTGGGCCATCCCATCAGGAGAAGCTGTTTGGAGGCTTGTAGTTCTTGATCTCGGTGAACTAGTGATGCTGTTTGGGTTGCAACCCAGTCCACGCTGTTAAGTCTGGCCGTGTTTTCGTGTACTTGTTCTTGGAGTGCTTTGAATGTTTGGGCCTCTAAAAGGATTTCATTGGGCACCTCTTCTTTGCGTTCGAGCGCTGTTTGTCCTATCCCAGCTAGTGGGGATCTGGATCTTTCTGCCATGGGTGGAGAATCAAGGGAAAAAAGGTCGGGTTCCTGCCTATGTTCGGTCCGAAAAGCCTTTTTATACATCCTAAATTGTCATAATATGCTTGTAGTGTTTCCACTGTATCCTGGACGTCCTCATCATCCTTCAATAAGTTAATTGCTTTCCAAAAGTCAGGATTTTCCTTTGCTGGATTTTCAAAATCTTCTATGGTCGGCCATCTGAAAGTTCTTTGACCTATGAGTTCTTTGGGAAAATCAGTTGCTTTTATTGTGGCATTTTTTCCATCAAAACTGATAGGGAAATAATAAACTCCTTGGTGTCTAAATGCTGGTTTTGTCTTAATCCCGCTCTCTTTCAGATTGCCATTGTAGTATGTATAAAGGACAAAATCTACAAAGTAGTTTTTTCTCTGCTTCTTCTTCTTGCTCTCTGCCATTCTTTCTTTCAGCGGTTTTGTTTCCTTAAACTTTTGGATATTATCTTTATAATTTTGAAATGCTTTGTCATAAGTTTTCTTATTAGCAGAGGTTAAACCTTTAATGAGATTTTCAGCAGTTGCTACATTTGATATTTTCCTTTCAGTGTAGAGTTTTATGATTTCATCTATTCTTTTTTGGGTTGCTTTTGTGGTGTCATCAGTGATTTGAGACCTTTTAAGCCGGTTAAGACTGGTAATATTGCTCTTGATAAACTTATTACTCATATAATAATCTATATATTTATTATAAAATATTTCTTTAAATACTTTTTACAAGAAATATTTTTACTTGAACAACTATATATTTTTTGAAAAACATAAATCTTATGAATATTCATAGGGTTTATGGATTAGTATTTTACAAATGCCTCAATACTTGCTCTTGAATTCTTCTTTTGATTTTGTGAATAGTTGTTTCATTGTATATGCTATTGCCTATTGGTTTGTGAAACCACCCTATCCAATTTAATATTCTATGAAATGCCCATGTTAATTCCGAAACATTCAAGTTATCATTCAAGACAGCATTTTGAAAATCAACTTCTGTAGTATAAGTCTTCTTCATTAAACGCCTCATTGTATAACCTTTTTGTCATATTAATATATTTGTTTTCAACATCCTCCCCATCAAATATTATATCTAATACATCAACATCATCGGGAAACTTGTTAATCAAAGTGAAAGTGTAAATTTCTATGTCTTCATCAACATTTGGGTTTCTAATATCTATATATCAACATCTCTAATTTTCATTCTGCCAATTGTATTCAAAACATAAGAACACTTTTCACACTGTATATATTCACAAATAATGGCAGATACATCACTTATAAAACCCTGCTTAATCAAGGATTTCATCTTACAACAATCAGAACATCTATGAGACATAAACTTGTTTTTAATTATATTCTTTGCGTCAATGCCTTCTCTTTCTGTATCACTGTATTCACTCTCACTATCACTCATCACTATATACTATATATAAATGATATTTCTTTAAATACTTTTTTACAAGAAATATTTTAATGTAAAAACTAAACTTTTAACAATTCGTGACGCATCAACTTTCTTGGATAGTCAGTCATTTTAAAGTAGGTCTGCCCTAATGATTGTGTAATTGCTTCCACTGTATATTCACCCTGTAAAAAATTGCTTGTTCGCTCCTTTTCTGTAATTGCTTTTTTTCTTACAATCTTGACTTTATCACCGACTTTTATTTCTGGATATATTTTATCCCTCCTTGCTTTCATTGCTACATTAACTTTTGCTTTCAGTTCATTTTCTTTTTTCCTTGCTTCTTTTGGTGTCATATTAGTAGCGGAGTGCTTCATTTTATCATTATATGTAAGCATAATTTCTAACATATAATCGGTCCATTGGATATTTTCTTTCCCTTTTTTCTCATCTACTTCAACTCTTTTAAAAAGCATATCCTTAAAGGTTCTAATAAACCTTTCAGCAAAGGCGGGGTGGTTTCTTGTTCTATATAATTCTATGCCTTCACCTTCAACAAAGTCTTTAAAGTCCTCTCCTGCTATTGCTCTTTCATCATCAGTATAAATCAGTTGTGGTTTCTCACCCATTTTTTAAAGTGCCTCTTTAGTTCCTTCAATTACATCAGGTGTATCTTTGCTTTTAATTGGAACTACTACAGCAAATTTACTTAAAACATCTATCAACACTAAACCCGCTCTGAATTCTTGTTTTGCTTCGAAGTCATATTTTCCCATAAAAAATAAATCAATTTGAAATGTATGATTATTGTGTGGTGCTATAAAAGAATTCATCCCTCTTTGCTTCCTTTTTACTTCTGTATTTTTCTTAAACCATTCCTTAACATCATTTAAAGTTATGCTCGGTTCTTTCTTTTTGGCATCTTTATAAGTTGTCTGAATGCTCCCAAATCCTGCTCTATCAAAATAGATTTTATTTATTATATCATCTTTATTAACATCTGCCATATTAATAAAGGTGATATTATTTATCAAGAACTCATCTTGTCCCCCTTACCAGACTTCTATAAACTATGTCATTATCCATATATAAACGACCAAAAGAAAACTTCCTGAATTTCCTATAAGATGGATATTGATAGTGTCTTACACATCCACAAGTTGTCCCCCATTCACTTTTCCTTTCATAAATTTTCATTAAAGTTTGAATAAGATTAACGATGTATAAAAAGGCATCTGAATTATTAATTGGGTTCTTTCCACCTTTCTTGTTTAGTTCTTGGGTGGTTTTTTCAATTGACTTTTCTAATTTGTCCTTCTCCTCCCCCCAGTCTATAAACAAATTCAAATTTTCATATACATCTTTCACTATTGTAAAAATTTTTTTGGTGAGTTTGTTTTCATTACAATGATGTGTTCGCACATAATATTCTTTACATAAAAACTCTTCCTTTAAAGATTTGATGTTTTTAGGAAATGGAAATAATTTAACAAACTTGAATATGTTTTGTTGCCGTTTCTTTTTGAAGTTTTGTAGATTGGGTCATCCTCAACCTTCAACATTTGAGAGCAATCATTACAGCAAAGAAAATTATTTACTGCTATTGCGTGTTCTTTAAGTAAAATGTGTTTAACTCCTTTATCCCCTTTGAGTTTGAAGATTTCTGATTTTTGCTTTTGGCAGTCTTGACACAATTCACCCCATACACTTACCATATATTTACATATAAAACTATTTCTTTAAATGTATTTTTACAAGAAATATTTTTTCCAGGAAAATTTCTATATATTTTTTCCTTAATCTGGGGTCTGGGGTAAGCAATCCTAACAGGTCAAGGATAGGGCATCCCAGCAGGTCAAGGATAGGGCATCCCAGCAGGTCAAGGACAGCACCTAATTTACACATTTTTAGAGGCATCCCAGCAGGTCAAGGATAGGGCATCCCAGCAGGTCAAGGGCAGCCCATCCTAGCAGGTCAAGGACAGCCCATCCTAGCAGGTCAAGGATGGGAAAACCTCAATAAGTAAAGTTTCACAAAAATATTTATCAAAATTAAGGATATTTTTGATAAATATGTTGCTATTGAACATTTAATATTTTCAATGTTTCACCCTTGTATTTTCTTGGTTTTGTTGCTTTCACTTTATTTTTGTTTTCTTCTGTATCTTCTTTGTTCTCTTCATAGTCAATATCTTTCAGTTCAATTTCTCCATTCTCTGCCATTTTATCTAATTTCTTTCTTCTGTTGTATCTTATGGCACTTGCTCTTTTGGTTTCCATAAAATCTTTATCGTGTCTCCTTTTTTGATAATACAACCTATTATACAATGCCAACTGTTCTTTAATCTCTTCCAATGTCATATTTTCAGGTGTTATTGAGGTCATAATACTATATATTTATAATAAAATATTTCTTTAAATATATATTTTACAAGATGTATTTATTGACTTTTATAAGCATCCTTAATTATTTGAAATAATTGTGTTTTATAAACCTCCCTCATTTGTTTTAACAGTTGTTTCTTAACGGTGTCTCTACCTCTGGAAGCAAACCAAGTTTTGTAAAGATTGTCAAACTGTTCGTATTGCTCTTTTGTAATCATACCCTTATTATTAGCATTGACAAATTCTTCTCTCAATCTCTGAACTCCTATTGTGCTTGGTCCGACGGGTTTTTGTATGGTCTTTCTCACCCCCTTCTTGTTTATGGGTTCATCATCCTCATCATCGGCTTCATCACCTCCGCCTAATGCCATGTCGCCTTTCTTATTTCTGCGTTTTCTTTGTTTGGGTTCTTCTTCTGGACTGCTCCCCTCTCTCTTATCCGCACTGGGTCGCGATGTATCGGGTTTTTGGTGCTTCATATTGGGTCTTCCTCCTTTGCCTTCTATTTCTGGCGTTGCTCTTTTGCTACTGCTACTTACCTCCATTACATCTACAATTGGAATTTGTAAAGTATCTAATGATGATGCCGATGCTGATGCTTTTGCTTTCCTTTTGGGTTTGGGTTTTGGTGGTTGTGCTTCATTATCATTTGCTATTGAAAAAACATGTGGTTGTGATGCCATTGATGGTTTTGGTATTTGTGTTGGTTGTGGTCTCCCGAGCGGGGCATAAATTTGGGGATGTCCCTTTGGATAAACCAACCCTTCTGCTATTGTCGGTTTATTTTGTTTAAATACTTCTCCTCTGTGGTTCATTGTTGTTTCTTCTTTTCGTTTAGTTGCTGTATTCTCTCTTTGTCGTAGTTCAGCATTCAATTGAGATGCTTGTTGAGTGCTTGAACTTGGCATAGTTGGAGTTTGATTTGGCATTTCTTCTTCTACATCCATGGGTTGAGTTGGTTGAGCAATTGTTGGTGATTGTAAAGGTAGTTGCTGTGCTCTTGCTGTGTGAAAGGTTCTTCCTGCTGTTCTTACATTTTGCCTTAAAAGGAGTTCTGACATTTGCCTCATTAATAATCTTGCCTGTTCTTCTTTAAGTTGCTCCATACTATCTGAACCATCAAAATAAG